TTTAATATCGCTAATTCCTTAATAGTTCTGCAATCTGGCCTGGAGCTCCATTCCGCTTATGCTTCTAGCGTTTAGGGTTATATTTCCTGTAGTGCCCTTCCCGTCTCTCTCTCTCCTTCGCACTTTCCGTCTCTCCCTCGCCCTCGCAATTCCCGTCTCGCCCTCACCCTCGAAAAATTGAGTAACCGACGTGATTCGGGGGAGGAGGAGGAGGGGGAGGGGGAAAGTGGAGTGCTCGTTGACTCCCAAGTATCGGCGGGAGGCCAGGAAGGGGAAGGCTAACAGCTTCGATGGGGTTCTTTTGGGTAAGCAAGCTAGAGAGGCCGTCTCGAGTAACGACTGCAGGGATTTGGAGAGTGCCTTCACCTTTGGGCATCCTTTGCCACTCCCTTCCCGTTGCCCTCTCTACCGATGGTGGATTCCAGAACTGTGGCAGCGTCGGGGTCAACTTCCTATTCCAGCGTTAGTTCTTCGGGGTCCTCAGAAGATACTTTGGAACTTGGGTTCTACAGGTACTTTTATCTTATTGTTTTGTTGAATTGGTTTGTTTTTTTTATATTGATGTTGTTTACCTGTTGTGGGGGAGAAGTTGATATTTGTTTGCCTGCTGTGGGGAGAAATTATGGCTTACTGTTCAGAGGTTTATGTGGGATAGGAATTGGGATAGATGTTTACTTGCTCTGGGGATAAATTGATATTGTTTTCTGTTAGCAATGATAGATGAATTGGGATAAAATGTTGGCTCACTTTCAAATTAATCAAATGTTTACCTATTTTATCTATTATTTTCCATAAACAGTTCTGTTGCAAACAACTTAACCAAACAGGGGCAGAATGGTCATTTATCCAACAACAACTCCCAGTACGTTGTTCTGAATAAGCTGTCTCAAACAACAAACAAAGCAAACCAATTTATTTTGATAATCTGCAGATTATCAAATTATCAGAATAATCTATTTATCAACAGATTATAAATAATCAACAGCTGCCCCAAAACAGACCCTAAGTATGCTACTACATTCACATTCAAAATAATTTGTGAGTAAAAGCATTGTCTGAGTCCTTTATTGGTGTGGTTTAGCGGTATGACCAAATCCCTCAAACTGAGTGAATTAGCTAAGTAAGCTATACTATATTACGCTCACAGTTATATCTTGTATGTTAATATCTTATTGCTCTTTTGATTTATGAATCATAGAGTATACCCAAAATGATAGAAAGTCCTCTATAATTTAAGGTCAATTTAAATTATCTCCTTCAACAGATATCCACCTATGTCTACAAAATCTTGTTGAACGAAAGAACTCATGGCTGCTAACAAAGATTTTTTTGTCAAATAGGGTTGACAACCTCCTCTAAGTAGACCAAGGTCTACGACAACCTAAGATAGTGGAGCCATAGGATCTTGATTAAGTTATTTATCATTACCCTGGTTATCTGCTCTAGACAAGGTAATGAATGTCTAATCCAAAATTAAATTGTTGTTATTATATGATAAATAATCAGCATATAATGACTGGAATTAATCAAAAATACTCACATTATTGAGAGAGGTAACTAAACATAAGGGCTTACACTTATAGAAACCCTCAAATCTCAAATCTAAAATCTTCAAAAAATGTGGCCAAAATCTTAGGGTAAGGCCTTATCTAAAATTTCATTTGCTCTCTGAAATTTAACCCAGAACTTCTTTTAAAATTCTCATTGTCATTTTTAGCAAGACCAAAGCCCATAGTTGGCTTCATCTTTATATCCTCAATGATGAAGAGCCCTAAGAATTTGTCAAACCCGATTCCAAAGATGCACTTTTGTGGGTTCATACACATTGTATTTCTTCATGTCAACATTAGGTTTCCAAAATCAAGTAAATGTTGCTCTGGGACCTTATTTTCACTAGCAGATCATCAATACATATTTTGATATTTCGCACTTTTGGCCCTTGACAATTTGGTCCATCATCATTTGATATGTGGCATTAGCATTCTTCAGCCCAAAAGACGTGACTCTAAAGTAAAAAAATTTCTCAGTTATGATGAACGTTATCTCAAAATCGGTGGGGTGCATCCATTTTTCGTGAAAGCTCAAAAAAGCTTCAAGAATGCTCATCATAGAAAATCCTCTTGTTGAGTTAACCAAAGTCTCTATTCTCGAAGTGGGTACCAACCCTTAGGATAAAAAAAATTTATGCTTGTGAAATTAACGCATATTCTCTATTTTCCACCTACATTTTGTACCATCATCACATTCAATAACAAATATGGATAGTACACTTCTCTTATGAATTCCACATCCAATAACTTCTAAACTCTTGTCAAATAGGTCCGTCCAAGATGGCGATCATCTTCCTAATTTTTTGTTTTACTAGCTTGGCTTAATTCCTAACATTCAACTGGTAGCAAACGACATTATTATTTATAACAAGTATTTTTGTTGTTGTCTAGTTGAAAACCTCAATGTCTTCCCAAAACGCCTTGACCGGCTACTCCTTTATCATCTATGACTAAAGTGGCCTAATTTGGAAAGTGAATTTTGGGTTCCCTTCACTAGCATGGACTTTCTCCATCTCCGTAGTCTTCAACCTTGCACTTCTTTCCACCTCTAGTTAGAGGGCATCTTTCTACAATTCTCACACAGCCTTCAAGTAAAAATCTCTTAATTGTATCAAATTCTAGCAACTTGACCAATGCCCAAGGCTATTGCATGCCAACTCCATTTCTAAAGGAACCTTGCAATCCCAGTGTAAGGGCGGCTCATGCAACTGCTAGCAGCAAGTCCTTGACCCAACCTCTCCATCTAAAATTATAAAATAAAGTTTTTGAAGAAATTACCCCACTATTGCTTCATCTTTAAGAGGGATTAAGAGTTTTTATATGGCATCTGTGAGCTTTCAAATAAGTGACAAATATCTTCTTAACCTTCGCAAAAGAGATAATGCCACCGAAAGAGACGTGAAGAACCAACAAAGTGCTGCTTACTTAAAAGGTGGTGAAAAATAAACAGCACTTTAGCACTTTAGCGCATCATTGATATCCATTATGGGAGTGGCAAACTCAAAAACATGTGTTGATTACTTAATGGTGGTGAAAATAAATAACATCTTAGTGCATCAATGATTTCCAACCTAGAAGTAGCAGACTCGAAACATATGGTTAATGGAGTCAGTCCTACTTGGGTATGATTCAATATGCAGCACTTTGAACTTCCACAGAGGTTTTACCTTTACGATTCTTTTGTAGGATGCAGTCATAAATTGCAATAGTTGTCTCACATCCTACTGAGTTGAAGGGAGGGAGTCTCCTTCATCGTTGGGATAGTAGATCTCACCAATTGAGGGAGTACTGGTGAACACCCAATGCTTGATGGTTATTGCTGGATTATGGAATCAAAAGAACATTCTGGGCTCTCCATTCCTGGCGGGGAACATGGTGCCCTTTCGAGGGTGGATTGGATCATTCAAGTGATCCTCTCCTCCATCTCCGAAAGTTGTATGTTGGCGAAGAACTCTTAATTCAGTATAGCTTGTGATGTCTCTTTATTAAAGTAATTGAGTTCTCACATAGACTGCTTTTTAATCCTTAGTTTCAATCAATGTTTAGCATACCTGAGAAAGATGTTGGATCCAAGCCTCTATTCATGGGCGAAATCTGGACCCCAATAGCAAATTTTATGATATCAAATAGATAGAGAGAATAGTTAAAAAAAAAAGGAGACGGAAAACAGAAATCTAGAGAGACAAACTTGAAGTACTCTATTTACTCTAGCAGGAAATACAAGATACTATAGATCTCCCCTCATACACCCTTTGACCCCATATTTATAAGTTTTTTGGGCTCTACAATAAAGCCATATCAGAGAAATAAATAAATAAATAAATTATTAGATATTGACATGTGGATGTGAATGGCCTTGAGGGACAAGTGCATGAGAAACTCCCTTATACTGATACACCATATTTAAAAAGCCATATAAGAGAAATAGATAAAAAAATCTTTTATCGGATATTGACTTGTGGATACAACATATTTATAAATCTATATAAGAGAAATAAATAAATCTTTTATCATACATTGACACGTGGATGTGAGTGGCCTGGAGAGGCAAGTGCGTGAGACGCTCTAACCCTCTATTTAATTTAGTAAGAAATACATAATACTATAGTTATCCCCTCATACACCCTTTGATCCCATATTTATAAGTTCCTGAGCTCTAAAATAAAGCTATATAAGAGAAATAAATAAATAGTAAATCTTTTATCAGATATTGACACATGGATGTGAATGGCCTTGAGGGATGAGTGTGTGAGAAACTCCCTTGGACTGATTGCAGGAATCATCAGTTGATTAGCACATTTATTTTAGCCGATTGGGTCTAAACGGGCTTCACTTGAAGTAAGCTAATCGAGTTCGACAATGCTAGGAAGTATTTTCAAATCAGCAAGCGCCTCGAAGTCTCAGAAGAGGTGACAAAAAGAAGGGAGAGTATCTCTAGGCTCTAGGGAAGTGCAATAAGTTCTAGGCAAGTTCCTCCCACTAACTTTTATAGAGATGGATCCGCATATTTGATGTACAACAATGGTCCATATGTTTGTCCAATCCCAATCCAACACATAATTAGGTTGTGAATTTGGGCTCAACCCAACATTGGCTTGTTCGGCTATATCAACATGCACAAAAAAATTTTCTCCAACGATCCGGGCCATTTGAAATTTCCTAGTAATTAAACTAGAAATTTGATCAAGTTAGGTTGAATAAATCAATTAATGCATCTATATGAAAATATTCCCAAACCAAAAAAGTTACTTGTAGGCGCCCAATCAAGTTAGACGTATCCTTGTTCTCATGTAAGGTCTACTTCAAACATAAAGTCAAAATTAGCTTTCATTGGGATAAACATGTAGTAATCAATCCATGTACAGCATAAGCATCAGTGCAGTATGGTTTGCCTAAAAAGCTATTATTTAGCTATAATATAGAAAATAGCATGAGTTAAAAATGTCTCACCTAATATAGAACAAACATTGTCAATTGCCTCAGCGGAGATTGGACCATTTGGAGAGAAAGATACTTTGCATGCATTATATAGTCTTTGGATAGCAGGCATTGCGAGTAAGAAAACAAATATGAGCCAAGAGAACAAGACTTGAAAAGATTCTAATCAAATGAGAGATATATTTTTGGCTCTTCAACTTTAGGATGATCAACTAAAACAGCACTTTTCAGATCTTCCTTTCGTAAAAAGAACCTTTTTGAGCTAAACTCCGTTTCTTCACTGAGTTGACTGAAGAACTTAGATAGATTTGTACTTCCCCGTCTGAAGTAAAATGGTGACAAAATTTCCTCATTGTATTGTAAGATAAACCTGCAGCAGAAAAATTCAAAAACGTTGATTTTAAGAGGTTTCAAAAAGAAATCTGTCCCAAAGCACTTTTTGCATTTCTTCAAGGTGATTGCTGCAATTATTTTTGGCCGGCAATAAGATAAATGTGTTGTGCAAGTAAAATGGATAGCATAAACTGTAGCCAAATGATTGGCTCAAAAAGGTTAACCGAAACTGTAGCCAAATGAGATACAAATATTTTTTTAACTTCACTTTATGGCCATGTTATTTCCATATTCATTTTGTACAATCGGTTACAATTTCAGGCCAGGTTTCAGTCCATACAGCATTCCTCTACAATGCAAAGGGAAAGGCAGACCTTCTGCAATCGTTAATAACACATATTTTTCAAGTTCAAATGGATTCAAAAATATACTTCTGACTGTCCAAGAGCTCACAATAATAGACAAAGTTTTATATAATTCTGAAAAAAGTAAATAAAAAGTGACCAGAATAAGTGAAGTTCACTAGAAAAAGAGTCTAAAAGGGCACATAATTTTCTGAGGGAAATAAATATATAACTTACCAGACACACTTTTGTCTCTTCTTGATGTCTCCTAGCAGGATATTTCCACATAAAGCTTCTTCTAGAGCAGAGGAACCAAAAAGTTAATAGATATGTCACGTGGATCAAATATTTAATAACTTCAATTTCATTTTGAAACAAAAAGCAACTCAACCTCTAAATGAACTTTAAAGGAAAAGCATATTAATTAGCAGCTTAAGTACATGAATCGCACTTAGGCGGAAATCGGTATCACATTGCATAATCATGTAATCATTACAAAATTGAATACTTAAGTAAAATGTAGCATCAAAAAGCTTTCATCTAAAGGTGGTAAAAAAGGAGTCAGATAAAGATTTAAATAAAAGAAGACTAACTAGGTTATGCTGAATAACTATTTTGCATTATCACACATTTTTCTGCTTTCATAATCAAACAAAAAAACCCATGTAACAATCATAAAAAACTTCTATGTAACTCAGAGAAATTTACTAAAAAGTTCCCCCAACTATGGGGGATCATTCTAATCTCAATATATATATATAAGATCCAATTTAGTTCATAAACTTTTAAAAAAGGAGTCAAAACAATTTATCATTAAAAGTAACTAAAATTGAAATTAAAATTAAAAAATGAAGTTAAAAGTGACGATATTTTGAGAATTTACATATGCTAGAAATGTTTAAAAAATCTGATAAATGCCATCTCTTTTTTTAAGTTCTGGATATTTTGTAAGAAAATATATGAACAATAATTGTTAAAATTTATAAATTTAATATGTATTAATTTGACACAAAGCATCTAAACATTAAGAGATATTGGGAATAATGCAAATAAATTATATGTCAAACAAAACAAGTAAAAAATTAGATTTTGTAAAAGTTCAAAAAAATGAATTTCTATAATGCCCTCATTTTTAATGCCATCTATTAATTTTAATTTTAATTTTACTTTGAAAAATAAGAATATTTTGGCTTCTATTTTAAGAGTTCAAGGACCATGTTGGACCTTCAATATAGGTTAGGAGATAGATCAATGATTAACAATTATAAGCTTTAGCACACAACTAAAATAATGTATACCTCCAAAAAAGAATAAATAAATAAAAATTAAGGGAAAAACCGACAAATAAAAACAATGAAGATAATTTTATGTAGACATAAACTGCCCTCTGTTAGTATAGTCTAACCAAAAAAACTAAGAAAAAAGCACGATAACACAACTAAACTACAATCTTCATCAAATATTGATTTAAAGCCTACTCAGCTTCTGTGTAAGAGCTCAAGTCAAGCAAAGAATAAAATGATTTTAAACAAGCAAAAAGTTTTCAGCATAATTGTCCAATACTTGCCCAAATGATTCTCACGAAAATTTCCTATTAACAAATTAGAATGGATTGGCCAAAGAAGAAGTCAGAATATGATTAACATCAAACAAAGTATAACCATGTTGAAAACTACAAGAAAAAAAAATTTAAAGTATGCTCAAAATTATTAATCATTGCTAGTCGACAACATGACATTTATTTTGCACATATAAAAGTCGGACAAATATTTGGCTAGATCAAATAAATCAAGCCATTATGAGAGTAGCTATTAAGTTCATTAAGTCAGTGATTATAAACCAACTTGATCCTCTAACAGTTGGAACTCAATAAGTCTAAAATCACCTAAAACCTAGAGCCACCCATGGCTGAAGTCACAAGTTGCCCGAAAATAAAGAACGCAATGCTCAACATTAAACTACAAAACTCGCCCAAGGGATTCATGAAGACACATATTCACCAAACATTTTGCCCCAAAAACAAGGTAACTTGCCTTAACTATTCACCAACCAACTAGAGGTTCTCTCCAAAAGAACCTACCAAGGATTACTCGCCAAAAGTTCTCATAGTAATTAACTACAGAGCAAACTCGCCCATAATACGGTTAGTTATATAAAGTAGAAATTATTTACTTTCCGTGTAACCACAATATAGGTAATCTTAAGTCGACCTTTAGCTTCACCTATAAATAGGTGTTCATTGCTCATGTGCAAACACAATAAATCTTAAACTCAGATCAAGAACCGAAACTCTACTGCATGAAAATCTTACACAAATCTCTATAGATTTCTCTTCAAAATCTCTCTTTCACTAAATTATCTCTATATAACTCAACTAGACGCCCCTTCTCTATTAAAAGTTCGACTAAATCTTCTGTAGATTATTTCACTAATAGAATCAATGAGACTTAGCTTCTCTTTCATCACGGCAGCTCTTAAGGCTTGAAACATATTTCTAGTGGGGTCTTAGCATCTTTCCATGTAAAACATTGGATCCAATGTCCACTTTTAAGTGCAATGAGCATGAAAAATGCTTCAGGATAAAGAACCAAATCATGGAATTTCCTCTCAAGATGGAAAAGGCTCTTGCACATGATCAACCAGCTAGCCTACAAATGATTTTTCAATTCAGATTATAGAGGCCCAGCCATTCGTAATGTTCAAAATGTTGTGTTGGATTCTCATAAAGAAATGTCAAGCCCATCCAATCTTGTCACTCCAGGTCAACCATTATCCTCCTCAAAATCAGCGTCCAAATAAAATGTCAATGTCTCTTTACCATCTTCAAGGAGGTGCCACGTGTCGCCTTCAACTTAATTTCATCTTGAAGGAGTTGAACACCTTCATGAATGTAGACCAGACACAAATCAATAATCCATACAATAATGCCATCATCATTACTATGCTAATCACCAATTATCAAATTGGCAACATATTGATGAAGAATACAAGTAATTCCATGAACATAATTTTTTAATGAATATTTAAACAAATGAATTTAAGTACTTCAAAATTATTTTCCAATGTTGGGCCCCTTGATAATATTTTTTAATGAGCAAAAGGAGACAGATTTCCAAATCATAGAGTCAATAACCTTCAGTAAAGCAACAAATAATGCATTGCAATGGTCAGCTTCAACCTAATATGTAATTTATGTCTTACGTTTTCTCAACATCTTCAAGGCTAGTCCCAATCTATCTCAAATAATCAAATTTCTCACACGCGGTCAAATGTTCACCATTTTGTAAGACTTAATTGCAATTTAGGACATGCTATATAAAGGCGAGTAGACCCCCACAAATACAACTCAATAATTTGAGCCATTGTTTCAAAATGGGAAGTACTCCTTAAACATTTTGTAAATTATAATCTCAATCTCCGTAACCTCTAACTTTAACTTCTATTCCAAGTGGATGCAAAATTGAAAATTCAACTTATGGCGTTAAACTTGAAGCAAAGAAAGAGCATACATAGGTTGATCATCTTGAGATATATTTCTCCAACTATAAGTTTGCACAAAGAATTCCATTTGTTCAATCAAGAATGTCATCACAAACATTATTGTGGTGGGATGTAGATTCCAAAAACTGCAATTCATCAAGATTAACATGTTCAAGACTCAAGGGTGTCACGACCAGGCCTGAGAATTGGAATTAGATAAGGCGGGTACAAATGGTCGGCCAGTGAAAACTAAGTTTTCTATATTTATTTACCATTTAACAAATGAAAGATTCACTACTCAAATTAAATTAAAGCAGTATATTTATTTTTACTTCGTTACTGGATGTCCGCATCTTCTATAAATATTTTATTTTCTATCTTTCGTCTTTTAATCAATTAATTAACATGAAAAAAGTTGATTTAAAAATAGCAGTGAGCTAAACAAACTAGTAAATATTCATACTTCTGAACTACAGTAATATAAGGGAAAAGAAAAAAAAATGCATGCCCATAAATTTTTTTAACAAATCAAAATAAAAATTAGATATTTAGATAATATGATATTATTAAATGAATGTTATTATATCAATAACATATTTATATTATTCTATATATGTACAACCGTTACAGGTGTACCGTCTAAAAATTTGTATCACTTACGGTGTTTAATATCAATATCATTTTTAATTTACGTATGCAGGTACCTTAACATTCTCCCATAAAGGGATGACTTCATCATAGTCAAACACGTACATACAAACATATAATAAAAATATCACTTCCTGATAATGATATTTCATTCTCATTTGCATAACAATCAATTTTCATTCACAATATTCAATATCTACAATAATATAAACAAAATTGAACACAAAGATCATTCTTACAATATTAACAAAATTTAATAAAATTCTAAATTATGGATACACAATATTATAACAGTAAAAGTAAATACATTTGATTGAGAAAAAATAAAATATTACTATAGCAAAAACATATGAGGACTCACCTTGACGATTAATTTGTTATTTGATTAGTTTTGCCGTCGACTCTTCTAGAATTAAAAGTCTAAAATAAGTATGGTATAAAATTTATTTATTATTCTAAATAAATTATTAACTTTTAAGTATTAATATTTTATATATATAATATAATATAAGTAAAATATTCTTATTAAATTTTTTAATTAAAATTATTAAAACTCACCTTATAACCTTACTTTTGGTCAAGCCTTATCGATCGAGCCCTAAATCACGCGAGCAGTTGTCTTTCCCCCTTTATATGAGGGATTCATGCCTTCCTCGCTTGTTCGACAACACAGGAGATCCACTACAGATGCCACAACATCTTCTTCTTTGATTCCCTTGATCGCAGCTCGACATCGATGCTGGCACCTCCTCTGCTACTCTCGAGCCCTCTCACGTCACCACTTTCTTCCTCTGCATGTGATAGCGGCGCGACCTCCTCCGCACGAGAAACATGGATGTATGAGGTGAGTCGCACCCTTCCATTTCCCCTCTCCGTTCTCTTTCTTTCTGCTCCTTTCTTCTTCTTCTTTTGGACTTGCCTTGTCTTCCTCATACGCATCGTTTTATAGAACGTAAGGGACCATTAAATTCCCAGACCATTTGACTCCTCTCCCTCCTTTGACTGCCCGACTCCTCACTTCCACTCATTCGATTTCCTCATTTCCTCTCCCCCGATTAACTGAAACGGTACGTCACAAAGGGCTTCAAAAATAATTTTAACCCATTGTCCAAAAGGGCAGTAGATCATGGGCAATAGCTTAGATAGAAACATGTGCAATTTGTGTAGCAT